TGACTGTCGTGTTCATCGGTTTCGTACTGTTGGCCACCGTTTGCTACTTAAAGGCCCCGAAGAAGTCCAACTCACTATTGGAGATCATATCAGTTAATCCCGAATACGAAAAGTTTATCGGTTTGTAGTGATTATCACATTAGTATTAATCCCACTCATATCCTGTACCCCAACCCCCATATCACACGACTTAATGATAATCTAATGCTATATTGTTTGTCACCATTAGTTGATCCGGAATACGAGGTGAACTCAAAGGACTTGAAGACATTCCAAGTGCTCGGCGACGGAGCGTTCGGACGGGTATACTATGGAGAGCTGCGGACCAACAATAAGGTCATCAAATGCGCGGTCAAAACGTTAACGTCGGCCAAAGGGGCCCAACAGAGGGAGTCGTTTCTCAAAGAGGCCAATATTATGAAGTAATTTACATTGTTTTTAATTAGTTAGTAATGATCTTGGTACTACTTAATTGTTTTTGTTGATGTATAGGGCTTTTGTCAACTGCCACCACATCGTCAAACTGATTGGCATCGTATCGGTGGAGAACCCGGTGCTCGTACTCATGGAATATATGGTGAACGGCGACCTCAAGAACTATTTGCGTCTGAATCGACCCGACAGTGATGTACGTGTGAAGCACTTGTGCTCTACCCTAATGTTTATGACATTGAACACAGAAATTAATTGTATTATTTATTTGACGTGGTGTATTTTTTAGGAGAACCCGAACCCACGGGTGCCCACCATTAGCCGCATATTCCAGATGGCGATCGAGATCGCGGACGGCATGGCATACTTGGCCGCCAGGAAGTTTGTTCACCGAGATCTGGCCGCACGTAACTGTATGGTGGCCGAGGATTTGACCGTTAAAATTGGCGACTTTGGCATGACCAGGGACATTTATGACGCCGATTATTACAGGTACAATGCTCCCCCCCCCATGGTTAAACTTATGCTCAATTAATCGTGATGTTTATTGTCTACTATAAGGAAAATGAACAATTGTCTAATACCTGTGCGCTGGATGTCTCCCGAGTCGCTGAAGGACGGCCTGTTCACCACCTATTCAGACATCTGGGCCTACGGTGTGGTACTCTGCGAGATCGTTACGCTCGGCGCCCAACCCTATCAGGGCTACAGCAATGAGTTGGTGCTTAAGAACGTGATCAAAGGCATGCGCCTCCCGGAGCCCGAGAACTGTCCCCGAAAGCTGTTAGTAGTCTTGTATATCAATTGTCTGTTCTGTCCGGTGATAATGATTATGTCTTTTTATGTCCACTCAGTTGGCGAATAATGCAATTCTGTTGGCGCCGACACCCGAAGGCCAGGCCCTCGTTCACGGAGATCACGGAATACCTGCTGCCGCTGTCGAACCAGTCGTTCAAAGAGAAGTGCTATTACCTGAA